TGGGTGGAAGGGAGCACTGAATCATGATCATGGGTGGTCGTCATTCGTCATTCGTCTTCTGGCCGCGGGGTCGATATCGAGGCCGGCTCGAAACAATCTAGTAGTGCATCCCGCTCCCGCTCCCGTCGTAGATATCGTCCTCGTACGGCATCATCGGCGGATGAAGCATGCCCATGCCCATCCCCAGCATATCGGACTGCAGCTGCATCGGCGGATGCATCCCCCCATAGTTCTGCATGTACCCCGAGCTGCTGAAGAACGGCCCGTTGCTGTTGTCCTGGCCATGACCATGCTGGCCCTGGCCCTGGACCATCATCGGCGGGTGGAAATCATGGTACTCGGGAATCGTCTCCTCGGTGGTCGGGAGCATCGGCGGGTGCCAGAACGAGTTGAGCCCATTCCCATTCCCATTCCCGTTGCCATTGCCGTTGCCGTTGCCCGAGGCAGTGCGTTTGCCCCCATCGCCGTTATACCCGCCCATATCCATGTTCGGGAACCGGCTGAACGGAAAGTCGGACGAGAACTGGGACGAGTATCCGCTCGCGTCCGTGTCATGATCGATGTAGGACGAATTGTAGCTCGTGGCGCTCGAGGGCGGCTCCGACGCCGAGTCGACGCTCATCCGGCGGCGTTTGTTCGCCCGGGAGATGGAATTGGACGTGGACGCAGTGTTATCCATGGCGGCGGAAACGTCGATGCTGGCAAAAGGCAATGCGTCGGTGAGGGCGGCGGCTTCGTGGAAGGAGAACGGATTGGCGTAGCGCGGTTTGCTGGGTTTGGGCGCGACGGCCGAGTTGGACGCGGAGGTGTCGGGAGAGGTGTCGGCGGAAAGCACGGGTGACGAACGACCCGCCGAGCCCGATCCAGAGCCAGACGACGAGGCGGCACCAGGAGCAGGTGACGCACGACGGCTGACACCTGGGCTCGCGGTAGGCGTCTCGGAGATGGCCGAGATGCCTTGTCCACTGCGACGGGCATCGTGCCTCGAGCGTTTGCGAATGACGTCGCTCTTCATCGAGATAGGCCGCGCGGACCCGTGAAGCTTGTAGTAGAGACCGCAGCTGTTTGTTTGCGATTATCAGCAAGTTACATAAAAAGAAGGATCACAAAGACGTACGCGTTGCAGACAGTCTTGCCCTCGTCGTCCTTGCGCCAGAGCGGCGTCGCGGTAGTGTGGCAGTTGTAGCATTGAGCTTTGAGTCATTCATTAGACCAAATTGTTCCTCGAAGCAAGAAAGAAACACATACCCAAGACATCGACAGATTCCGAGCGCACTGACTGCCCTCGGCCTTCACCGCCTCCGTTATTACGCATGGTCTTGGGGCGAGGGCGTTTGTGCTAAACACAATCATCGTTAGCACAAATCACAGAACCGAAAACAACAACACCCACCAACTTGCAGTACAACCCACAAGCGTTACAGTTCAACTCGTCGTTCAAGCCACGACGCCACAGAGGTGTATGGGTCGCCCCACAGTTGCTGCACTCGGCCTTGACGCCGCCCGGAGCGGTATGGTTATTCGCGCTGATAACGCCGCTAAGCGGAGCCGGAGCCTGGACGGTCGGTCTCGCAGACGCTGGGACACGCACACTCAGAACAGGGCGTTTGGTCGGGACCACCGATGCCGCTGGGGTCTGCGAGGCCGTCGGCCGACGAGGAGCTGAGCCCGTCGAGTTGCGAGCTCGAGAACCGGTCGTTCCAGAACGAGGACGAGCGCGAGCCCGGGAGGAAGACGCCGACTGGTCGTAAAAGTCGCTGTCGGCAGAATCGTCGCCACCATCGTCAGACGACTCGTCCTCGTCGAGCGGGGCAGCGGGCGCAGGAGCACGTTTCGCTGCAGCCGAGCTGTTTTTGTGAGACGTCTTTTGCTTGCTAGCTGCGGCGGCAACGGTGGTTCGCAGGGGCGGGAGAATGGAGTAAAGGCTGTTGCTGCTGCCATCCATCGCGTCGTCGTCGAGTTCGGACATAAAGTAAGCGTTTGGCGAAAGATGGGGAGATCGCGGCTGGACAGCGCTGTTGGTCGGCGTAGCGACGCGATCGTGCTTGGGCTGGGGGCCAAATGCCGCATGCGGATCGAGCGTCAACGGAAGCGGGGAAGGGTCGTTCGGGCTAGGCGAAGGACCAAACATCGGGAACGACAAGCCAAACCCGTTGGCAGGGTCGAAGGTCCCGCCATGCATGAGGTCTTCCCAGGACCAGGCTTGGACCGGGCCGACGCTGGGGACATCCGAGCGGTAGTTGAGCTGCGAGGCGGTTTCGTCGTTGGTCGAGTCTTGCTCGTGCTCGTGCTCAAAGTCCGAGGCTTCGGCGTCGGCGTTGAGCAGCTCGTCCAGCGGCAGCTCGATTGTCGGACGGAAGATGCGCATGTCGCCGGGCGGGCTGGTACCCGCTGCGCTGACGGTGTACGGGGAGTGGGCGTCGCCATAGTTCATCCGGGGAGCAAGGGACGACGACGACTGGGTTGTCGCAAGGAGTGCCTCGGGGCCAAACGAGTTGCTGAAGAGAGTCGGGAGGCGTACTACGCCGCCGCGCTTCGTTCCGGTATTATGGTTCGTGTGAGTGGTCGTGTTCTTCGTGACGGCGGTCGTAGAGTTGGAAGTGGACGGGACGGGCTCGACGGCAAAGGTGAACTGCATGCGCTGGATGATATGGTCGGGGGTGTTGGCATGGGCCTCGCGGACCCGCTCTTTCTCGGCAGCCCGCTGACGGATGAGGTCCGTAGAGGGATTGCGCTGGAATGCAGGCGCCTGCAGTTCTTCGATGCTCCTGGAGTAAGATTAGCATCCTGGCATATGAAAGGCAAGACGACAAGGAATGGATGAAGACAGCGCCAGCAGACGCTTAACGACAGAAAATGATAGGCGAGAGCGACTCATTAAGACGCGACGCGGTCCAAAACGAGGAAAAGAGACACTCACCGGCCTTTTTCCTTGTCGAGTTTGTCGCCCATGCACTTTGAGAGTTTTTTAAAACTCGCGCTTCGACTTTGCGTTGTCGGTGTCGACCATGAGATTCTGAAGGTGCCATAGCCTGCGCGGCTACGAGTCAGCCGGAGGGCGGGCGGTGATGGAGGTGGGGTGCGCATACCGCCACGACAAGTTCTCGAGCCGTTGGCCCTGCTCGAGGTAGCCAGCGACCTTCGTGCAGACCTGGTTTGTGGGCGTTGAGTGATATTGCGGTGGGGAAACAGGACAACGCTGCGTACCTTCCAGGTCTTGGTCAGTGACTCGGCATCGCCGAGGTTACTGAACGCCACGAAGGACTTGTTACCCTGGTGGACGGCGAAAAGGAGAGTAAAAAGAAAAAGGAAAAGAAAAGTCAGCGACTGGGAGCGACACCAGCAGAGAAGGACTCACTTTGAACTTGAGGTTGAGGATAGAGGGCATTCACTGGGGGCAGACGATGGAGGACACTTGGAAGACAGCAAAGAGATCAGACGATGACTTATAAGGCCGCAAATTCGCGATGGCACGTTGCATGCCCACAAGTGACGGGTTCTGCCGCCCCGCCCGCGGTCTGATTAGCTGTAAATTTACCCAATGGCCGCTGGCCACCGCGGACGTCGCTGGACGCGTCCAGCTCGTTCTCCAAGCTCACTGCGGACACTGTACAGCTCGACGAGCTCAGACACAATCGGGATCAACCTCATGGTGCTTTCGCAAATGAAGGGCGCTTCGGCAACAAGGGTTAAGGGCATGCAGATCTTAGCGAGTTGCCTCGAGGCTCCTCTCGTGATGGACACTCGGGACGGTCCTCCGTCCTTGAGGCCCGCTGCAACGCCCTGTTTCTCCCAATAGCCACCGCTGCAGATTCACAGGCAAACCCAATCATCGTCGGACCTTGCGTTGAGCGGATATTGCAGTTTTTTATCTACGCGCGGCAACAAGATGCCGCCCGAGTGACAGACACCTCTGAAGCTTGCGTTGTGCTATTTCCCCTAGTGCGACGTACCCCGTTCTACCCGACGCTTGATATCCGTCCACCTGGAAGCAATTGCAAGCTAATACGACACTGGCGGCCATTATGCGGCGCTCCACAGTTCTGACTCGCAGGCACTCCGGCTTCCAACAATTGGCTCTGCTTCGCGAGAGCTCGCGACCCCACTTTTGTTACGCGTGGCCTCGTTCAAGGGAAGCAAGGGTTGTGAGTCGGTGTTGAGTCTTGACGTCGGGGATCACGACCACGACGCGCGCGCGTTGTTTTGTCGTTGCTGTTCGGTCGAGGAGGATCTCAATTGGCCACTGGCAGACGCGCGCTCGTTCACTGATAACCCTAGCAAAGATCTATTTCCTTTGGCGAAACGTGGAACGCACCCGAACACAAAACCACACCCAGCTTTGGCTAAATTCCTGCCTCGTTTTCTTCTCCAGAACCTCATGCGAGGCCCTCACGCAACTCCTAAAAGTCTCTCTCTCTCGACCCTTCATAATCTAATCTCGAAGCCTGGGCATGCCGCAAATATTTAATTTAGCATCAAAGGGGATATCGCCGGGCACATACCGGCCCGCGAGACTTCGAATTCTCTTCTCGTTTTTTCGCTGTTCGCGAAGCCATACACCCGCCTGCGCTGAGATTCTCCGGGATGCTTCCCTCCGCGGATACGATTCGCTGATCACATGCAAACTCTCCCATCAATTTTTGGCGGGTTCCTATAGGCTATAGCTAGCCTCCAGAACAATCAGAACCATTGTCTTCTCAGGACCCATTAACCATGATCCCCAGCGTTAATGTATCGCACGGAAGCCTCAAAGTCCCCAGCCAGTGGATTTCCCCGTATGTTCACAATCACATAGCGTGCCAGTGCTTCCTAGGCCCTTCCAATCGCTAGCGCTAGCGCTAATCCAGGGATTCAAGTTCTTCGTGATTGATGAAAGGCTCTCGTGAGAGCTGACCTGCGGTGTGTCGGTCCGACGCAAGGCCAAGGCCAAGCTTCGAAGGCCTCGAAACATCCAAATTCGCTATATACGAGGATATCTACGGATTTCCCGCCGTTTTCTAGGGCATCTGGTGTAGTTGGTTATCACGTTCGCTTCGCACTTCTCCGCTGAATACGACTGCGAAAGGTGAGCGGTTCGATTCCGCTGTTGTCCATGGTTTTGCTTCATCCGTCTGTTGTTTTTAGCTTATCATCACCTCTGCAGCCTTAGAGGGGTAAGGATTGCGTCCTCTGAGCCCATTGGCATCGGCTCGACCTTCTGCCTCCATGAGCTGCCGAAGAACTCAGTTGAACAGTGATTCCGAGGCTGCGGAATGTTAAGTGTCACACGCGTGACTCTACCTCTCTCAACAGCGAACAACCGCGTCTTTGGCGTGATTAACCTGATTTACACGCGTCGGAACGGTCCCTCTAGTCGACCAATGGAGTGGACAAACTGCGGACAAGCCTTACTGCGGTAGTACGAATCGGATCTTCGTGGGACCGCGACCGTAATATATCTCCTGCACCTGCGCCAAATCACCGAGTGCGGACCCACAAACACTCATTTCAAACCAGCTATCCCAATTTTTATGCGCCGGAACACCCCCTCTCATCTACAGTGGAGTAAGTAACTGCCGGCAAACCCCACTGTTGACACGAATCGGACGACGGAGTTGAGCTCCGCATCTCTCCCACCTGCGCCAAATCAGCATTGACAAGCACCGTGGCGGACCCACAAGCATCCGACTGTACGGCGCTGCGCATGCGTTGCTTCGGAATCCAAAGCATCTCGGTGACCGCCACTAGTGCGCGCGCGGGAACCCTTGGCCCAACGAAACGCCGCAACAGCGTGTTTCACTGGCACTCCTCCACTCCAGCGAGTAGCAAATGGGTGTCCGCTCCAGAAGCGTCTGGACTTTGCCGTGTCTTCTTGAGCCTGAGGTGGGATCTCTTCATCTGGAATAGTTTCTGAAGCAATTTACAACAGCGCCAAACGCGCAATCCGAGTCGTCAGGATGGCGACACAGTCTAGATCTAGACCAAGTACGACTCGGACGAACGTGTCTCCCTCGCTGCAGAGCTTGATACGCTAGTGGCGTTCACAAGTACATGGAAGCCAAGCGCAATCCAATCTCCGGAACTTCCGAGCAGCGAGGCGCCGAGGTTCTGGCTACTTTACTGCCCCAACCGGACGCCTTATCGAATCGTTTTCTCAGGATGTCAGCGGTGGGCCCGGTGGCTGCGTCGAGTGTGGGGAATCAAGGTTTTAAAATTACTTTTCTCGTACCCAGGCCCTGCACTGGCACACGTCGATCTTGATCGAGGAGGTTGCTGAAGATGCGGCAGATTAACGAACGACATGAATTCGAAGCGAAGGTCACCGTCCACCGATGGCCAAGGAACCACTCACCGTCGGCGTTGCCCAAAAAAAAAAATCGTCGAAACTTTGAACATTGCCAACCTCCCGGTACGACCCCACCGATCTCGAGTTCTGAGAGACGGAGAGGTGCGTTGTACGCGTTGCGACCAGGTCGAGAAAGGAAAACTTCCTCATTCGTGCGTGTGTTTCACTGGCACAAACCCATCGATAATCGATCTTATCGATCCATTGGGCAGTGGGGTTGCAAAGGCGTGTTACGCGCACACTGATTTCTAGTGGTTACAGAAGACATGGCGCTCGGCGGCCGGACACGTTCAAGGCTTTAAGTTTTTTCGTAATAGGGTGAGTCGGTCAGCAGGAACTTGAATCAGCTTCTAGGCTAAGGCCGCTAAGCGATGAGACCGAGAGAACTTGTGGAGAGCCGCATGTTGAACACGGGTGGGGGTTTTGGGGTGGCGGCTGAAGGAAAGTCCCTTCCCGCGAAGGGGGATTGAGGATGTCGGAGACTGAAATGCAGGAATTTGGACGTAGCAGAAATCGATATGAGCAATTGAAATAGCAAAAGAACGCGTACATAATCGTTCTGCAGAGGTGCAACTCACTTCCTCGCCTAATATCGTACAAACCTAATAACAACAGTCGTGTGCGACTAAGCCGAGTTCTTGTCGTGGTTATACACCAAATTCTTCACGTCCGCCGTGAAGCAGTGGCTGTCCTCGTGGATCCCAAAGTCCTTGTGAGCCTCCGCAAGAATAGTCTTGATCGCCGGGTGGCCAAGGATCTGAGCACGGCAGGGTCAGTTTGAAGATAACTTTTCGGCTTTACTGGAGTTACCGCGTTCATGTTCTTCCAGTTCTGCCCGCGTCCATTAGTGCATACTAACAAACCGGTGACATAGATACACACCTCGGTCTCGAGCATTGCCACCACGGTCTTCTCTGCCTCCTGGAAGCCCAGCAGGCTGGAAGGACCTTCCATGTGCGGGGTTTGGAACCACTGTACCGCGAATCAGCAGATACGATCGTAAAGAGTAAACGCACGATGGTATGTTTCACGAGGTGCTCCTCCGCAACCGGAAGCGAACCGATCTTGTCAAAGATCGCCTCGACCTTCCTGCGGTAGTCGTTCACGTCCGTGTGGTAACCCTCGGGAATCTTGAAGATGAAGATCCCATGGCAGGTCGTTTCTCTCCGGTGAGGCATTTGCCGTGGTCGAGCTTCGTGACGACGTCGGCGGAGAAAAAGCATGCTGCCTGGGGCATACCAAACGAGTTGGTGTTGCGTACGTGCCCAGTGACATCGACATCCTTCATGCACTGCATGGCGGTGAGACTAGGTGCGCGTCGAGGGATATAATACACACATTAGCGAAATCTTCGGCGGCCTTGACACAAGGGTGAGTACAAGGACGGCTCAAACAAACGAAGATCTCCTGACTTTGCACTCCGCGATGGCCAAGACTGTTGTAGGCGCTTCCTTGAGACCTGCGCGGTCCACCGCTTCTTTCAAGTGATCATTCTGATATACCTAACCAACCATAAGCAGTCAGCGATGCAAAGAAAAAGAACGGCCTACAGCATTAAGCTTCAAGAGATTCTTCTGCACCGCGGGCGTGGATTGCATTATATCGAGAAATCCCCGCATGTTAGCCTCGAATTCCTCTCTCGGGCATCCCTCTGGCGCGCGGTAGATGCCGATACCGCAGAAGGGCTTGAAGTTGGTGGTGGGTGCAGCCATGGTGGGAGATGCGGAGGTGGCTGGCAGTTGGGTCTCCCCTTAAATACCTCACTTCCCAATGAAACGCCAGAGTGAGGGACGTAGGTCGGGGAAGAAGCAACATCGCCGACTCGACGCCGAGCAGCCAGTGAGAGACTCGGTCAGCCGCTAGCAACAGAGCAAGGATTGGAGGCTATTGATACTGGGGCTTCGCGTTGAATGGAGGAACGGAGAGAAGCACTAGCGGTATTGCGCTCAAACACCATGACGGTTGCAGCGCGCGTGACTGATGGACCGACGTTGTCATCAACCATCACCACCAACGATTCGACACTGCAAGAGCTGAAAGAGTCTAAGACGCATTGGACGAAGACTTTCACCTCAACAGTCTCGCTCGGCCTTATCGTTAACTCCGATTCATCTCTTCGTAATGTACCCGGGTCCAAACCCAAGTGGTATCGCTACGGCTGCCACATCTGGTAAGTGGAGCTGGAATGTGCCACACCGAACTCGCTATATAACTTGTCAAAAGCCCCAGCTCCGTGCTGGTTATTGCCGAAGCCGTCTCGCATGAGCTCTCGGAACAGAATCAGAACCCGGACTCCGATAGATTACAGGTGAGTGTTCTCTTGCCAGTGGTTCCATTACTCGGGAGAGCGGCACCCAGCGTCTGCGAGCGAGCCCCACGGGTGCTCAGCTTGCGGCTCTGGGATCGAAGCGCAGCCATCGTACTGTGGCAAAGCGGTCAGAACTTGCTGAAACAGCTGCAGAAGGAAAGTTAGTACGACGGCCAGCATGCGCCGCTTTCAGACAACCTGCGTTCGCCAAGGAGGCCCGAGCAATGATGGTGCGTGCTGGATCCTAACTTCGAAGCAGCTTCCTAGTCCTTCATCGGCCTCCCAGGTAAGACTTGCGCCTTTGCGGCCGAAGTCGTCACCAAGATCGCTGGGGAGCCCTGCCACCGAATCTTCATCTTTAAGATTCCGACAACCCTCGAGCCTCACGAGTTCCATCGAAGAATGGTCGAGAGATTCGGGCCTACTTATTGCGTACTAGGATGAGTTTGCCTGCTTCACTGCATGCTCGAATGTGATGTGAGTGTCTTCTGGCGCTATCCGACTGGAGGCGTCGCTCAACTTTTTCAACCAGAACTGGTTAACTCCACAACAGCTCAAGCACGAGATTAAGTATCGCGGCTGGCATGGAAGACTTTGTTCTGTGTGTCGACAGTAACTGTTCTGAACTGTTCTACGGTCTGCCACGTTGACACGTTACGGCTACTAGTACAAATCTGGAGCAGCAGATGAATGGGACTTCGTGGCAAAACCGTGTCAACGGCGTTTTGCGAACCCCGGGTCATGAGGCCTGCATGAGGACCAACAGGTGGTTCTTTATGATGCTTGTTTTGAGCTCAATGAAAAACTTCTCTTCGTGGATTCTCTCCTGAACTTGAAGTCAGAGGAGCGAGGGGTCAATTTAGCTCAACAGACAGCGAGAGAAGAGACGAATTCATGTAGAACTCATTCAGGGCCATCAGGTTCGCAAAAAAAAAGGAGCCATACAACCATTCTTAGTCGCAGATTCATGTATGTTGGTTGTCAGGTGTAATTATACAGTGAGACTAGTACAAAGCGGAATCCTACTGTATTGCCGGACCAAGCCGCTGTCCGCCGGATGCAATTGATCTGACGTATCCCCAAACCAAAAGCGGGCTCTCTCCCTTACCCCATCGTCCCGCACCCCGCATCCGCACCCACCAATGAGCAACATCAAGACCTACACGAACAAGCCTGGATACTACGGCAAGGGCTCTGTCGAGGTTGCGCCGCCAGCTGCCGACAACGAAGGCCCCACTCGGCGCTTGGCCATATCTGCCGAGCGTCTCGTCAGCCAGCCATTCGAGGGCATCGACACCGTCTTCGACGTCCTCCAATACGTCGCGAAGACACACGGCACCCGCGACGCCATAGGCGTGCGAGACATCGTCAACATTATCGAGGAGAACAAGGAGGTTAAAAAGGTCGTCGACGGCAAGGAGGTCACGGAGACGAAGACCTGGAAGTACTTTCAGCTCAGC